GACTGGGCGCCCTGGACGGTGAGGGGGTGCTGGTCGTGGAGACTTGGTGCCCTGACTGCAGGGCAGTGATGGGGTGAGGGCCTTGGAGACTGGGCACCCTGGATGGTGATGGGGTGCTGGTCATGGAGACTTGGTACCCTGACTGCAGGGCGGCGATGGGGTAAGGGCCTTGGAGACTGGGTGCCCTGGACCATGATGGGGTGAAGGCCACAGAGACTGGGCTGCTGCAGGTGCTTGCTCAGGCTGTTCTGCTAGCTGCCTCACCGGGTGTGTCTCCCCAGCAGGACTGGTCCAGATTTGGACTAGGATGAGAGCAACAGATTAAAAGGTCAGTAAACCCAGTCCAAGAGAGATGTTTGTGAGAAAAGGCAGCAGGCAAGAACTAGATCTGGGGGTGACACTCAGAAGAACGGGAGGATTATCTCCCGTGTCTGCCATGCGGGTCTGTGCTTCTCAGGTGTTTGTTCCTGGATCTTTGAGAATGGTGTGTTTCCTGTAGGAGAAGCACACACAGGGACAGAGGTGGCCAAGACGGTGGTGGAGGCCACAGTGAGGGTGGACAGGACAGGCAGTGAGCCGTCCCCCTGGTGCACGCTGGGCTTGCTGGAAGCCTGCAGAAAGTGTCTCCAGCCCTCACCGAATCTCCACTGGCCAGTTAGCAACTATGTCTGTGGTGGTCAGAGTTGGGGATGGAGATGGAGGCAGGCATCCTTTTCTAAGTGAAATGATCTATATGGCTCCTCCCAGGTGACTCCTGGCATGCAGACACTTGAGGAGGATGAGCAAAGATCTTGGGAAGTGGGGAGTGTCTGAGGTGGGCAAGAATATACAGGGAAAATGCCTGGTGTTTGAGGAATATAGTGAAGGCCTACAGTTGTGACTCGAGTTCTATGGGCAGGAGGCAGAGCAGTACAGAGTGAGGAAAGGACGCCATCCTCAGAAGTCTGGATCCCATTCCTTGTCCACTCAGTGGTGGGGCCCTAGGGGCAGAGGGACTGGGTTCACTCTGAAAGTGAGTCTGCAGTGGTAGGCGTGCCCCTGTGCTGGGAGCACCTGGAAGCTGGGAGCTGATGCTGGTGTGGGTGCGGAAGCCACCTGGAGCCACAGGCAGCAGCACGGTGCGGGGCAGGTGCCTGGTGTGGATGTAGAGGATGCCTGGAGCCACAGGCAGCAGCACAGTGGGGTGCAAGTGCCTAGTGTGGGTGCCGAGGATGCCTGGAGCCCCGGGTAGCAGCACAGTGGGGTACAGGTGCCTGGTGTGGGTGCAGAGGCCGCCTAGAGCCAGGAGCAGCAGCACAGCAGGGTGCAGGTGCCTGGTGTGGATGTAGAGGCCGCCTGGAGCCACAGGCAGCAGCATGGCGGGGTACAGGTGCCTGGTGTGGATGTAGAGGCTGCCTGAAGCCACAGGCAGCAGCATGGTGGGGTGCAGGTGCCTGGTGTGGGTGCAGAACCACCTGGAGCCAGGAGCAGCAGCATGGCGGGGTGTAGGTGACCAGTTTGGGTGCAGAGGGTGCCTGGCACTGAGGGCAGCAGCAGGGCAGGAGCAGGATGGTGAGGCAGGGCATGAGCCCAGGGTGGGAAGGTCAGCTGCACACATGGATTGAGCATGAGGTGTGAGAGACAGAGGCAAGAACAACTCTATGACTGTCCTATTCAATGCACGGTGTCCTTTACAGAGTGACAGGGCAGGAGAGAGCAGGGTGCTGTGGTCAAAGAACCAGCACAACGTGCCGCTCTTGGCAGGTCACGGTGGGGAAGCCCGTAGGAGGTGGAGCGCCACTCATTTTCCAGGGTGAGGGGATCGATCTCACGTGGGAGAAGTGACCCGTCGTCTGTCCCTCTGTTGCTGCAGGTGCCCCTGGTGTCCAGGGCAAGGGAAGACAGTGAGTTGGTCATAGCCCAATTTCCCACTGTGTTACTAATCACGGTCGTTACATTTCGGTGGAATATTACATCTGGTGTTGTAGGTAACTTTGGTCGAGTTGAGTAGGAGAAAAGTAACCAAGACATTTAAAAAACCTTACTGGAATTGTATTTTACTTAAAATAATGACTACTTTGTGTTTTACCATTTCCAAAATACAAAAGAAATTGAAAAGAAAAAGAAAACTTCGATATTGAAGTATGGTAGCCCAGGCAAAAGTGACAGAAACATATAAATTCTAAATGTACAGAACATTAGAAATACTTTTTAATCAAATTCCTTCACTTCATAAAGGAGGAATTCCAAGTTAGAGACCAGAAGCTTGTCCTGGACTGAAAATGTTACATGACAGCAGTATGTACAAATCCATGCCTTAGATTAACTTTTCATTTTTCTGCCTGGAACATCCCTAATTGAACCTGCCCTTCTGGGGAAGACATCAGACTGCATATTGAGGGTACATTTTGAGGGCAGTCTGTGAAGAAGGAAAGCCCTCTGTGCTTCCCCGCTTCCGATCTTTCTAATAAGCAAAACTCAAAGCCCGCCAAGAGGCCCCGTGTCCTGTGTCTCTGTGTGTGCACCAGGGTGCTCACTTGGCAGTGGGGCCACAGACCCACGGAAGAACAAAAGACAACAATCGAATCTGCCATTCAAAGAAACCATTTAACTTCTTGATCTGTGGCAGGAGTCTTTTGAAGTATGTGAGTGTGGGAAGAAAACAAGGGTTTCTTTATTAAAGCCCAGTTCTGACATTCATTTCTCTTTGCAAAAAGAGACTTTGGAATCACTGAGGCTATTTAGAAAGTCAAACAGTCAGGGGTGACTTTATGAGGAGCTCCAGCAGGAAGGAACTCAGGAAAATCATGAATAATTCAATTCTCTGGAACAAAGCAGTTACTTTATCAAAATGTATTCTAAATATAAAATGCATTCAAAACAATATCTTCCAATGAAAACATACACAACCACTCCAGATTCATAGAGCTATCAACTGGATCATTTGTGCAATAAAACGTCCACAAGAATATATTGTATAATAATAAAACCAGCTGTTTGGGGAGTTCTGTTCCTCACACTTCCCTCACAGTGTGTGTCCTGCTGCCAGCACTGTAAGGTTTTTGTGATTCATCTTACATGGATCTTCTTACATTTGGTTCTACTTTTACAATGTTGGTCAGGTTTGAGGAGTTTATATTATATTAGTTTATACTTGAATTTGGGTTGAGATCTAATCTTTGTTTATTAGCTATGAATATTGAGTTTCATAATTTTGGAAATTGTGATGCTTATGATCAGAAATATAGATCTGAATTTTCTAGCTTTCTAGCCTTTCACAAACTGATGGTCCTTCTGTTTAGGAGTCTTTCAAAAGACTCCTGCCACAGATCAAGACGTTAAGTGGTTTCTTTGAATGGCAGATTCAATTGTTGTCTTTTGTTCTTCCGTGGTCCTTCGGTTTAGGAGGACTTTTAAGGTCCTTTCTCCTTAAAATTGGTGCTCATAGGCTATTTGTAAAATGCACAGTACCATGCTAGTATACTAGTGCGTCAGAAAAGCCTTATATATATATAAATATAACATATACACACACATACACAATATGCATGTATATCTGCAGGTTAACATTAAGAATTCTATCATTATTGTCATCACTTTGACTTGCCTGATTTTCCTTAAGAAGATGTTTATCTTTCCATTAAGTAGAACAAACCTGCCCATAGGTGACCGTCTGAATGTGTGTCTCCTTGCTGACTGGCTCGCTCCGCAGTGCAGCCTACAGTGGAAGTTTGGTAGACACAGCAAACAAATCACCAGCCTGCTTCCCTCAAGTTCAAGTTCGTCTGTCTCTCCTGTGTTCATGACACCTCCTTCCCTACATGAAACAAAGTGAAATACACACGGAACAGTAACTTGAGATTAAGGTTCACTCAGTAGTTACTCCAGCTTTGTGTGCCATGAACTCACCAAAGAAAGGAGACCATTGCTGCTGTGGCTCAGGCTCGTGTAATTAAAGCTACAAAGTGTTTTTAAACTTTGACTCTGGGGAACTAAAGGTTTTCTCAGTTTCATGTGAAAATTTATGGTGGTTTATTTCAGTGTTAAATGGACAAAAAAATACTTTCCTCTTTATGATAAGGAAGCAATAACTAGAAGAGCAAACAGCATCTTTGCCTAACTGCAGGGTG